TGCGAGCCCGGATGGGCTGGGGCCCTGCAGCTCTCAGGGCCAGGCCTGGGCTCTGGGGACGCCAGATGCTGCGTGGCCTGAGCCAACCTCCCAGGCCGCAGCTGCGCTGCAGATCCACCCTAAGCAAGGGGTTCCGGCCATGCACTGTTTGCACTGGACACAAGTAGCCCCAGAACTCTCTGTGATCCTCTTGCCTCAGCCTCCCCAGTGCTGGGATTACTGGCACATGCCACCACATCTGGTTGCCAGTGTCTTCAACAGGCCTGTGGGGTCTTTGCTTCCCACTGTGCTGTATACCATGACCACACTTCTCACCTTCTCTGGGATTATGGCTGTTTTTAAAGCTGAGTAAAAAGCAAGGTGAGGGATTCCCACAGAGAACACTGTCTGTGGCATGAAGGAGGCCTCTGTGTCCTACAGAGCACAAGCTCAGTCCCCTCAAGTTCCCTTCTTCACTCCATGCTGGCTATGTCATGAGCCTTCCTCAGGGCCTTTGCACTGGCTGTGCACACTGCCCGAGAGAGGTCCTCCACCCTCAGCAACTCACCATACTTGTCACCAGAGTGACACATCCTCACTTCCTGAACAACAAAGAGCCTGACCATACAGCCTTCCCACCAATTCACTGCAGAGAAAAGACCTGAAGGTCTGAAGGGACAGGCTCCTTTTCTAAGGTGTCTGCTCACCTGACTCAGAGGGCCCATCCAAGGGCCTGGCGGGCAATGGACGGGGGCCTCGTGGGCGAGGTCCTGGTCGAGCCAGAGCCACAGGCCCTAGGAACTCCACATATGTTCCAGGGAAGTCTCCTCGCTGCCGGGTGCGCTCATTGAAGCCGGGCATCCAGCCCACGTTGTGTGGACAGCGCTCCCCTCCATCCGCAACACCCAGTGCCTGCAGGGCCACCCGGCTGACCACCAGTAGGTCTCCAGGCAGTAGCTCCAGGTCCTCAGGCCTCTCCCGGCGGAATGGGTACACAGCCCTGTACTGGAAACCCTCAGCGCCCGCCATGGCTGGGCCTGGTAGGGTCTAGACAGTCACGTGGCTCCCGGGGGCTCCTGAGGCCCCATGAGATGGAGCAGCCTGTGTGGTAGACTTGCAGAAGTCACAGGCGACCTCAGGGGCCGCTCATGCCTAGCTGGCCATCACTAAAAGCTACTTGTCACAGAGTCACCTGTTCGAGGATGTCCCTGGTATTTTCTCAATTCACTCAGCTTGTGTACCCCATCAGATGGCCAGGCTGGGGCAGGTAGATCACTCTGTCACAAGATGGGACGTGGGTGTCCAAACTTGCTGGTTGTTCAGAGTGTGCCGGACACCAGATGAGGAAACCCAGACTACAGGCTGCTACCATGCTCTGCCAGGGACACCAGCCTAGAGGACATGGACAAGGCAGAGTGAGCCCTGCCAGAATTTCCCAGCGACCTTGGGGCTGGTCCCTGTTCCACCACTTCCCCCATCTGTAGAGAGCACACTAACATGCTTCCTTCATGCTTACTGGGAGATGAGTGCTTCTCTGTCCCCACGAGGGATGGGGATATAGATTTAGTGCCCTCTGGAAGACCCCACGGATCAGAGGGTTCAATCGCAGATGCACCCAAGCTCAAGATCAAGGTAAGAACAAACACTGAGTCTACATGGTTACACTCAGGACAGGAATGGTGCCCTAGGGGCCAACACAGCAATTTGGGGGACCCCCAAGGAGGGGTTGAGCCAGCTGAAGAGTGGACATGACCTAGCAAGAGCAGAGGCCTGGGTGAGCATCCACAGAAGCAGAAGCCTCAGTTCCTTGTAGGGGAGGGATAGCAGGGTGCTGGGGTGTCCCAGCTTGCCTTAATCTGGGGCCTTCTGGTGATGAGAGAGAGAGAGAAGGAGGGAGGGGAGGTGACAAGAAGGAACCATGGCACTGTATTGCTACAGTAGGATGGGGACAGGAGCTGGACACCAACAACCATAGCAGGACACAGGTGGTGACACTCCCCAGCTGTCCTAGCTTGGGTCCCCCTTCCAGGCTACAGTTCTCCTGGGGGACTGAGGGTGACAGGTCCTTGTATGGGGACAAGGCAGTACATGTACAAACAGCCTGGTCCTTGCAAAGGCCTGCCGGTGGAAGTCTCCTACCTAGGACACACAGTGGCTTTCAGTATAATGCCATCCAACAGGCGCCTATTGTGCCTAAGGGAGGGTCTGGGCTTCATCCCCAAATCTTGGGGACCAGGGGCAGGTGTCCTAGCGAGATTCAGGGCTTAATGGCCCCGGGTACCCGGCGTGACTCATTGTGGCCTGCATGCTATAGATAAGGAAACTGAGGGTCGGAGAGGACTCTCCTATGGGAGCCTCTCGTCCGCCCCCGCGCCGAGCACGTCTGCACACGATGGGGGGGGTGGTGTGCTGCGGAACCCCAAATGCAAAAGATTGAGCCCAGGGTGCACGCAGTCTACGTGCTCACGCACAAATGTGGCTAGACCCTCGTGCACCCCGAAGCCCCCCCCCCGGGACGCCGGAAGTGGCCGGACCCTGGGTCGTGCCCCGAAGCTCCCCGCCCCGGTGCGGGTGGGGACCTCCCGGACTAGGAGATACAGTCTCCACTCCGCAGGCTGCACCGCTCCACATTCGGCTTTGAACCCGGATCCGCGCGCCCCTCAAGCTCCTCGGATCCTCACCGCCGCCATCGACTCACCCAGTCGCCGCCGCCGTCGCCACCACCACAGCCGCCGCTGCCGCCGTCGCCGCAGCCGCGGGATCCCTGCGTCAGCCGTCGCTGCGGAGGTTCCAAGTCGCCAGGCCCGCCCCCAGGCGGAAATAGCCGAGCGCGTTCGGGCCAGGAGCGCGCCCTTCCCCCACCCCATACCGAGGTGGAGCCCGAGGACCGAAGTACAAGGGTATGCTTCCGGAAACAGCCGAACGTACTCCCGCGGGAATGGTCGGCTGCCGTTAGCCACGAGACAGCCGAGAGTGACCGGAAATAGCCGAGAGCAGCCGAGTCGGGAGAGAGCTGAAGATGCAGCTGGGCAAGTCAGGCGGTACGGAAAACACTCGAAAGCAACAAGGGTCGGAAACGCATTCGCTCCGAAACAGGACTCAGGACTCGGAAGATCAAAACAAACGTGTCCGAGAAGAGCCAGCCGCCCTCCAGTAGGGAGAGCGAGCGCTCGCTCGGAAGCTGGAGTGCCGGACTCAGCTGGACTGAGACACCTGAGCCATTCCGAAGAGACTAACGTGCTACAGCGGGTCTGTTTTTTACGAAGTTGTGAACTTGTAACATCGCGGAGCATGTCTGGAAAGAACTAAACGGTCTCAAATACAGGTCTTGGAGTTGGCACTCGGGGGCCGCCGACAGCTTCCGAAAATTGCCGAAGCTCGTCCGGTAACCGGACGAGTTAGAGGGCCGCAAGTTCCGTAGCGAGGCCGACAACAGGCGAAGGCGTTCCCACGGCAACCATCGGCATCCGGTTTTTGAAGCGTCTCTGTCCACGCGCGCGAGAGAGGCTGACCGAAGCAAGCCCGGAAGCACGATTGTTTCCGGAACTAGCGACAGGTGCTGGCAGTTGGCTTGGCTAAGCGATTATTAGCAGGAGCACCGGAAGTAGCCAAACTTGTTCGGCTCATTTCAGAAAGAGTACTTACTTATTTTCTAGCGCAGCGCAAAGACTTGAGGTTGCACCGAGAGCTCAGTGCTTAAATTAAGGTTGCTCGCTGCTCTTGCAGAGGACCTGGACTCAGTAAGTGCAGGACCCAACATCTAACCCTCTTCAGGTGTCTCTGGGACTTAAGAGAAAATATAGAAAGATGAACTTACTAATTGAAGAATTTAATTATATTTTTTGAGACAGGATCTCTCACTGTGTAATGCAGAATTAAAGGCGAGTGCTACCACGCTCAGCTTTTCACTTGTTTTGTTTTTCGAGGCAGGGTTTCTCTGGCTTTGGATCCTGTCCTGTCCTAGAACTCACTCTGTAGACCAGACTGGTTTCGAACTCACAGAGATACGCCTGCCTCTCTGTCCCGAGTGCTGGGGTGGAAGGCGTGACACCACCACCCAGCTTTGGGTTTTTTGTTGTTGTTTGCTACAGCTGCGGGAGATGAAGAATGAACCACAAAACTAACCAAAGCCACATGGAGTTTATTGGGAGAGGGAGCGAAGGGAGGAGTAGGTGTTGGCCAACCGGGAACAGAGATGGAAGGGGAAAGGGAAAAGAGGTAAAGAGACAAAGGACAGGAGAGGAGAGGGAGACAAGAAAATTCTGCTCTGCCCCAGGGGAACAGCAGGAAAGAGGAGTGGAAAAGAGGAGAGAGTAGAAAGAAATGAGTGGGCGGGGTCTTTTAATGGGGTGCTTTGCCTCCCTATAGACTCCATGGACCTCTGGGCTGACCAGGGTACTGCCTGAGTACATTCTGCCAGGTGGTGACGGGGTAGGCCAGTGTAATGCCTGAATCCTTATAGTTCTTTGTTTCCGTTTTCCTTTTGTGCCTGGGTGTTTTCCTTGCACGTATGTCTGTGCACCATATGAGTACATTGTGCCATTGGAAGTCAGAAAAAGGCATCAGATCCCTTGGAACGGTCGTACAGGTGGCTGTGAGCCACCATGTGGGTGATGGGAATCAAACTGGTCCTCTCCAAGAGCTGCCAAGTGCTCTTAACCACTCAGCTGTCTCTTCAACTGTATTACTTTTTGAGAATCTTGTTATGAACCCAGGATGCATTTGAGCTTATGAGTTTTCTGCTTCAGCCACCCCATTGTTAGGATTACGGTGTATACTGCCATGCCTGGAAACAGGAAACACCATATAATGTTTAGTTTTATTTTAGAGTGGGATTCTTGCCCCTTTGCTCTAGCTAGTCTGGAACCCAGCATTCTAGGTAGGTGGGATGCAGCCTGGATTGGACAAAGTGCTTAAGCAAACTCCTGTATAGCCTGCAAAAACCACCTCCGGTACTGTGCCAACAGCTGCTCTCTATATCCTACCCGCTTCCCAGCCACTCACAAATGCACACAACAGGGTTTGTTATTAGCACGAGTTTTTATTTAATGCCAGCTCCAGGATGGGCGGAGGGCTAATCATGCACAGCCTTGGTCTCCCAGCAGGCAGTGCTGGCTGGAGTCAGGGAGGGTGCAGAGCAGGTTTGAGTGCCTGGGAACCCCCTCACAGAGTGGGTAGAGCTGCATATCTGGCGACCTACTAGATGCCTACTAGATCACACAGCATCAAGGGGGATAACCTGGGCTACGCATTACCATGCTCACACCAAAGCCAGGCAGATCCTGTCACTGGGCCGTTGTGGGACAAGCCTCTGGCCTCAGCTACTTGGATCACACAAAAAGCTGGGGGTCCAGGAGCGCTCAGTGCTCAAGTCTTGTAAATACAGCAGCCCGGGCACAGAATGGGGAGGACATTCCCCCAGAGGCACACAGCAAAGCTGAAGTTGCCTCAGGCCTCTATCTAGACTGGCAGAGAGAGGCCATGACAACCGGGGAGACCTCATGGGCCTGGATCACCGTGGTGACAAAGTTAAGTGGTGTGGGGGGTCAGGCGTGGTCCTCACCTGCTTGCCAAGTGCTGTTCCAACCCTGCAGGGGATACACTTCTTTCCCACCTTGATGGTGCCCTTAGGTTTGTCAGTTACATCCTCCAGAGTGCATGGGCTGCTCCACCTCAATCCAGTGAGCTCCTATTCATCCATCAAAACCCTGGTTCCCACACCTCTAAGCCAAAGCATGCAGGATCAGAGGCAAAATGCAGTAAGACAGTGTGGGCTGCTCCCACAAAGGATGCAGCACGCCATGGAACTGATGGTCCTGTTTCAGCCTCCATAGTTTTGGGACAAGCATGTGCCAATACACCCAGCTCCCAAATCCTGTCCAAACTGGGCTGGGACAGGTGTGTGCTTTGGAGTGGGTCTTGGGCTGGAATTGAGAAGGGGACACATACATAACACACATACACTTGGGAAGGACAGGGAACAAACTAGAAAACACAGAAGTTGCCCAGAGTGTTCTGCCTTGGCCCAGAGGACAGGGTCTGAAGCCTTGCCCTAGGGGCCAAGGCCAAGACTGACAGCTGCATGGACCAGGGTGGCCAGCCTGGCTATTGCTTATAAAAAGTAATAAATTAGTTGAAAGGGCCTGCTATTTACAAGTCACAGGCACCTCCATCCCAGCTCCTTTGGGTAGGGGAGCACCCTCGAGCGACATGTGCCAGGCTGATGGCTGCTCCCCATCCAGGTGTGACTGTGGAGATGACAGCTCCCTGAGGAACTGCAGCCAGGGATGGCATTTAGTCTTTTATGGCTGGCCCTGGGGTTCCGGGAGTGGCCTCTGCACCCTGCACAGCGATCTTGGGCACTGCTCTAGGCGGTCCAGGCTCCTCATCGAAGCTCACCTCCTGCACTGCCTCCTGCTTTTTGAAGGAGTCCCTGCGCTCAGAGAGGTGTAATCTCCTCATGACAACCAGCTCAGCTTCAGTCCCCCTGCCACGCCATCCTCCATCCCCCTCCAGCCGCTCACTGGTGCCCAGGCCCAATTTGTCAGCGGACTGGCCCCTGCGCAGCCTAGGGGACCTCACAGGTATGGGGATGTGACCTGGTAGGGGCGATGGTGAGCGTGGCGGGGGCGTGGGCACTGGTGGGCAGGCCAGCGGGGATGGTGGGATACTGCTGGTAGACTTGCGGCGGCCACTCTTGTGACGAGGTGGCCCAAGCTTGGCTGCCAGGCCATGCAGTGAGCTGGGACGAGTGTGGCCAGTAGCAGGGGAGGCAGGGCTGCTGGAGCTTGGGGATACACTGGGTGGGGATGCTGTGTCTGTGGGCAACAGCAACTGGTCAGTGTCCCCTTCCTGGTGGTGGGACCTGAACTGACCAAACTGGCAAGAGCCCATGCCCTCCACTGTTACCACTTACCCCTGCAGAGGGGAGTGTCCTTAGCCTGGATCTAATGAATTCTTCATCAAAGCCAGGCCTCATTTAACCCCTCCTCCCAGAAGCCTTCTCTGCCTCCTCTTAACCTGACCCTTCCTCAAAGCTATATCCAACCCTTAAATATTGTAGACAACCAACATGAGGTCATCATGCCATCCCTCAGTTCAAGCACACACCTGGGCTCCCTACACACACACACACACACACACACACATACACACACACACATTCATATTCTGACGCAGAATCTCATGAGGCCTAGGTTAGGCTAAAATTTGCTATGTAGACCAAGCTGGCCTGGAACTCTTCCTTCATCCACTTGCCTCTCTCCTAAGAGCTGGGATGAAGGACAACCACTACCAGGCCCCAGTTGGCTGAGAGTCCACCCACCTGGGGGAGCATCGGGCGCGGGGCTTCGGCAGGGAGTGGTGGGGCTTGGGGACAGGCTGTGAGTGGGCGAACCAGGGAGGCTCTCGCTGGAGGACAGGGAGTGGTGGAGGCCTGACGAGAAGCTACGGCTGGTGTGGAGCACAGAAGATGGCTTGGAGATCCTCTTAAATAGAGACTTTCGCCTGGGGACATGCATGGTGACGGATGGTGAGGGAGGACAAGCCAGCTGTGAGTTAGGGACCCACTGCTCCCCCTGCTTACCGGTCCTGGGTCTCACGCCTGCGGCTGCGCTTACTCCTGCGGGCCATGCGGCCCTTGGCCATGTTCTTCCGCGCGGGTCCCACCTTAATGGAGGTATTCTCCAGGGCCGTGGTGCGTAGGGAGATCTTGTTGCCACTCTGTGTGAGGCAATATCAGTCACCACAGAGCCCCCAGGAACCCCGTGGATTGGGGACTGCAGCCGAGACACGCACATCCCACCTTCAGTAGCAGCTGCACCACATCCATGTGCACCAGGCCCAGAACTGACTCTCCATTGATGTGCGTGATGAGGTCGCCTGCGTGCAGTCCTGCCTCCTGTGCGGGGCTCCCCTCCTCCACACTCTGCAGGCACAGCACAGTTGGTCAGTGCCCGACCTCACTCACACGACCCCTGCACCTGTACCTACTGCTACTAAGCCTCAGTTTCCCCTAGCTATGGAGCAGCGCGGGGTCTATTCGGTCAGGGAGAGCATGCTGGTTCCCATGGCCGGGACCCACAGTGAGGTTCTGCAGGGGTTTGTCAAGGATCAAGTCCAGTCAATGGGATGAGGCCTCACCCAGACCACATGGTGCACCGTGTACACGTCACTGTCGCCCATGTAGACGCGAATGGCACGCAGGCTGAAGCCATACTTCTTGCCTGAGCTGTGGATGACGATGGGGGGCCGCAGGCTGCCACACACGGGTGATGGGTCCCGGCTGGGTGAGGAGTCTCGGGAGGAGGGATTGGAGGACAGCGAGCGGGGCGACAGGGGACTCATGAGGGGACCCCCGCTGCCATCGTCTGTGGGGGACAGCAGGGACACTGAGCTTGAATCTCTGTCCTCCCACATTGGCCACACTGTCCCCACCCTGGAGCTGGGTGCATAAGACCAGTTCCAAAACCACCTCTCCATCCCCACCCTGGCTGCAAAGCCGGTTGGACAGACATATTACCTGCTGTGATGATGAGGGATAAGGCGGATACCGAGGCAGACTTGGGCACTCGGCCCCCACCCCCGCCACCACCAGGGGAGGCCCGGGACTTCTCAGGCCCAGGGTCTCTTGGGCATCCCAGGCGGCGACCTCTGACCCCATCCAGGGGCCGAGGTGTGGAGTGCCGGGCACCTGTGCTGTTACTTCGAAGGCGGGAGTGGCTGAGGACAGCAGTATCAGCTGAGGGGACAAATGGGGTGAGTATGCCACCTCTCCATCTCTCCTCCCCACAACTGTGTGAAGCTAGACTGAAGATCCTAGGAGTATGGGGCCTGTCTTACTACAAACATCTGTGATTTCTGGAGAAACTTCTATTCCTGTTTCAAAATCCTTCTTAAACAGCCCCCACTCTGGAAATTTCCCTGAGGGCACCTACCAGAAAGGTTGCAGGGCTTGGGTGCCACTGGAGTGGTGGGGGGTGGGTCAGGCTCCCCCAGGGTAAAGACAGGCTTCTTGGGGTCAGCAGGCCCTGAACCTGCTCCTTCATCTTCAGATGAGAAGGCAAATTTAGGCATCGTATCCAGGCTGATGGTGTTCAGGAGAGTCGGGCTGGGACCACGGTCAGGTATGGAGGAAGAAGGCAGACATGAGGAGGCACATGTCCAGGAACGCAGCCTATTTAAGGGAGAAGCCATGCCACTCAGCCACACTTGCTTATGGAACTCCTATTTATCCCTAAAAACCCAGTTTTCAATTCCTACCCTCTAGCAACAATGTTTCTATTGAGTCTGGAACTTAAAGGATGGAGTTTGCTAGCCAAGTGCATTCTGAATAGAAGGGGCCATGAGAGCCAAGGCTAACCTGTTGTGGAACTGTTTTAGGATTACCAAGGCCTAGGGAGCCACACTGTCAGACACTCTTTTCTACTGGGCCAATGGGAAGCTCCTTCAACATCAGATTTTGTAATCTGGTTCTCCCTGACTCCTCAACCCACCTACCGGAGGTCAGTGCTCAGCCGCCGACCACTGTCCCCTTCGCTGCTATGCCCCCACCCTTCTTCTCGGTCCTCACTGAAGCTCCTTTCAGCAAGGGTGGGGGTGGGCTGAATAGCCAGGAACTCAGAACTGCTATAAACCTGTGAGGGTTTTTTTTTTCAATGGCAGTGGCACACACCTGTCATCCCAGGGCCTGGGAAGGTGGGCAGCAGAGAAATACCCTGTCTCAAAACACAAACCAAACCAAACAAGTAGGTGGACAGACTGGGGAGCACAGGGTGCTGCCGGACAGCCCCACCTTGCTGAAGCGGTGGGAACAGGAGGAAAACTGGGGGATCTCTGTGGAAGATTCCTCATCATTGGTCTCATCATCCTCAGAGCCCAAGTGTCGGTAACGTTCAGAGCGCGCTGTGGGAGTGAAGGGGGACTAAGGCAGCTGGGGACACTCAGGAGGACCCATGACAAGCAGAATGGGGGGTGCCAAAGACAGGGTGGGGGTTTAAGGTGCTGATCGTCACACCTAGGACCCCTACTTACTGTCAAAGTAGCTAGTGTCATCTTCAGCTTCAAGTTGTGGAACAAACTCTGCCTTGTGTCTCAGAAGCCCCGCCCAGTCCAAGGCCAGGAAGAAGGGATGCTGCTTCACCTCATGGGTGCCCCCTGTAGACATGCTAGCTAAGCCTGTGTGACCCCCACTCCCTGCCTCTCTCCCCTGGATGGGGCCAGAATAAACCCAGGCATATGGTCAAGAAAACGGTGAGCACCAGACCCAGCTACTTCCTTCAGAGTCTTATACATTTTTCTAGTTAACTACTATGTACTATCCAAAACCCCAACTCCAAGCTCCCTCCTCCACACAGCCTGGCAAGCCCAGCCTTGAGTGGACCCCCCCCCCACACACACACACTGACTTACCAGTTCCCAGCCTCTCCATTGGGCTCTGACGCAGAAGCCTGGTGATGAGATCCTGGGCATCAGCAGGAAGTGCCTCGTCTCCCTCTGGCCACATGATCTCATCTGAGAAGAGATGAATGACAGGATACCCTTTGTAGCGCCTTCCACAAGGCCCTCCAAGTGCGTTCAGCACTGTGGTCAGCCCATCTCCCGGTGTCAGACCCTTCGTTTAAGACGCACCACTGACCACCTGTCCAAACAGCTCCTCAGGTGTGTCCCCGAAGAACGGCACACAGCCCACCAAGAACTCGTACAGGATGATGCCCATAGCCCACCAGTCCACTGGCTTCCCGTAGCCCTGGCGGAAGATCACCTCTGGTGCGATGTACTCCGGCGTCCCACACACCTGTGCAGAATGGGGAAATGAGGCCCTCCTGGCCACGGTTGGGAAGGTAGGACTTCAGTCTTGCCCTTGGGTTGGGTCGCACCTGCTTGTCCACAAACTCTCGGGCATCCTTCTCGATGTGCCCTTCATACAGGTTGGTGGCCATGCTCATGAGGCCGATCTTGGAAAGGCCAAAGTCCGTCAGCTTGATGTGGCCAAGGGAGGTGATGAGCAGGCTGTGGGAGGGGCCAGGACACTAAGGCTGAGTGAGGAGGCTAGAGCCCTGCATGGGTGTCAGGACTGGCTGAAGTTCCACTGTACATACTGTGTTTGTTTTGTTTTGAAACCCATTCTCATTAGGTAGCCCATGTCCCATGTTTAAAAACATTTTTTTTTTCCCCAGTGTGGTCAAGGGTAGCTTCAAACTCACTAGGTAACTCAGGCTAGCCTTAAACTCCTGAACTGCCTGCCTCAGTCTCATGAGTAGTAAGGCAACACATGTGTACCACCACGTCCTGTTAAGAGCTTATATTTTCATGCACTGTATTCACATTTACTACTTAAAAATAAAATCCCGCCAGTTGGTGGCACACACCTTTAATCCCAGCACTTGGGAGGCAGAGGCAGACGGATCTCTGTGAGTTTGAGGCCAGCCTGGTCTACAGAGCGAGTTCCAGGACAGGCTCCAAAGCAATACAGAGAAACCCTGTCTCGAAAAACCATAAATAAGTAAATAAATAATTTTTTTAAAAATCCCCCAGCCGGGTGGTGGCACATGTCTTTAATCCCAGCACTTGGGAGACAGAGGCAGATGGATCTCTGTGAATTCAAGGCTAGCCTGGTCTACAAGTCGAGTTCCAAGACAGCCAGGGCTACACAGAGAAACCCTATCTGGAAAAATCATCCCCCGAAACTCACTTTCTTCATTCATGTATGTCTGGGCTACATGGAGAAGCACATGTTTGTGACTACATGTTTGTGTGTGTGCACTGTTTGAGCTACACAGAACGTCAAACACTGAGATAAACAGCAACTGCCAAATATATCAGCTGAGCCGAATGCAAACAGCACCAGGTTCTGGATGTTTCTGCTCTCATCTCCACATGGCAAATAGCTGAGACACCAGCAATTCCTGCCTCACATACAGGTGGTACTGAATAAGCGGGCAGCCCTCACTTCTGCAGAGTAGGTGCTCAACGTGTAAACACACTGCCCTGCCTTTCGGGCAGCAAGAGTCTGTGATACTAAAGTAGTTAAACTGAGCTGCTGGGGCAGCCCGAGGCCCCGCCCCACCCCACCCCTAATGCCACAGCCCCACCCCGAGCCCCGCCCCCAAGCCCACCCCGCCCCAGCAGCACCCAGCCCCGCCCCTTAGCCCCGCCCAGAGCCCCGCCCCAGCAGCACCTAGCCCCTCCCCGCTCGGGACCTCACTTGTCAGGCTTGAGGTCACGGTGCACAATGCCATAGTTGTGCAGATACTCCAGCGCCAGTACCGTCTCTGCGAAGTACATGCGCGCCATGTCCACAGGCAGCGGGCCCATGTTCTTCAGAAGTGTGGCACAGTCGCCGCCTGCACCAGGGACTTGGGTAAGGCTTGGGCACCGCCCAGGCCGCAAAGTTGAGCTCTAATATGGCCCTCTGCACACAGCTGGTGCCTACTAACTGCAAACTCTTTCCCTTGCCCAGTGGCCTTCTTACCTGCTGAAGCTCCCCTCCCTAGCTGGCCACCATCCTGAGATCTCCAGGGACCACACTCATTGGTCTCTGGACCCCCATAGCTGTGCCCGGGGGTGGGGGTAGGACATGGCAGCCTGTGTGGGCCGCACCTTCCACATACTCCATGACCATGCAGAGGTGGCGGCGGGTCTCAAAGGAGCAGAACATGCCGACCACGAAGGGGTTCTCAGCGAAGGTGAGGATGTCGCGCTCCACGAACACCTGCTGAATCTGGTTGCGCAGGACCAGATTCTGCTTGTTGATCTTCTTGATGGCGAAGCGCTGCCGCGTGTCCCGGTGGCGCACCAGGTAGACAGCTCTGTGCACAGGAGCAGGAAGCTGAGCAACTATCAGTACTGAGGCCCATACTGCATCAGGGGACCCAGGACTCACCCATAGGCTCCATTGCTGATGAGTTTGATGGTCTCAAAGTCACTCTCACATGGCTTCCTCCGGGATGGACCACCCAGTCCTCGACTCTACACAAGGGGAGAGCTCAGGGTCTCCACACAGCAAAGCTGTCCCCTAGTCTAAACTGCTGTCTCACTGATCACCACTACTTACTCTTTGTCCAAACTTGTCAAACCAGCGTGCTTCCTGGCACAGCCTGCTTCCTGGAAAACTCCTATACATCCTTCTAGGCCCACCTTTTCAGCGCCCCTTCCAGCCCACCCCATACATGGGAGACCTCTATGATGGGGCAGTTCCACTACAGCCACATCCCTGAAATCACACCTGTTTATCAAGCATCTACTACTGCAAACTCACCCTCTTCCAGCCACTCAGGAAAGGATAAAACATGACTACCTCAGCTCATAACTTACCTCAGGGTATCCAGGAGCTGGGGGCTGGTCTTCATCAAGGTCTTTCAGGGGCTGGATCTCTGTCAAAGGATTTCACTATGTAGCCCAATAGCAAGAACTATAGAATCTTCTAGAAAAGCCATCACTTGGGATTTTAACGCTCCAGATGTTCCTCAACTAGAGGACACCCCAGTACTTTCTTGCTCCAGGGGTTGGCAGACAGCAGGTTCTAGTGGGTCAGGTGGCACCCATGGTGGCAGGGTCAGTGCCTTGAGGAAGCAGACTGTGGTGGAGACCTGGAGGCACAGGGAACCCTGGGTTCGAATCCAGGTCCTCTGTGCTCTGGGCGCCCCTCACCTTCCAGCGGGTCCTTGGCCAGGCCCAGCTGGCGGATGATGTAGCGTGGCAGGTCAGTCTTCACACCCTGGTCCTCGCGGGCCTGGCCCTCGGCAGCCTCCAGCAGATGGTAGAATTCCTCTGGGTCGAACTCCTGGGAAGGAGAGGCTGTGAACCCCCTGCACCCTCATAGGGTTTCCAGAGCACCAGGACCCCCCCCCCCCCGGCAGCTTACCAGGCACTCGAGCAGCCGTGCAGGCCTCGAGATGATGATGAGCAGCTTGCGAACCAGTTGTACAATGAAGCCTACCTCAGCGCTGTCAGACCTCTCATGAGCCTGCAGGGTACACGGGATGAGGCCACGCCCACAGAGGAAGCCCGGCTCTCAAGTGGGCGGAGCCATACTACATCCCAATAGGGAGCTTCTTGGGGCTCTGAAAACTGCCTAAAAGGTGTGTTACACAAGCACACCCCACCCCTGTAGGTGTGGCCCTCTGCCAGCCCCGCCCCCACGCACATCCTGCAGCAGCCGCTCCAGTTTGTCTTGCATCTCTAGGAAATAGCGGGAGGTGACCAGGGCCTCGCCCGACTTGGCTAGGCAGTCCCGTGCCAGCTCCACAATCTGATGATGGATGAAGCCCAGGACACCGTCAGCCAGTGCCAGGCGGTTGCCAGGGGCGAATGCCGCCAGGAAGTCCTGCAGCCGGCCTTCCATCTGTGCAGTGGCCTGTGGGAGGGTGGAGGTGAGTGGCAGGGCAGAGAAGGGGTGGGTGGACAGAAGTGGATCAAATGGGGGCCGGGCCAGACGACTGCCTGGAGGCGGGCCAGCCGGGGGCATGGCCTTGGTCAGACAGGCAAAGAGGTGACGAGACACAGGGGTAAAGGGTATGACAGAGGCAACTGACAGACAAGACACACATGTGGGGCTGGTAGTGGGCTGGGTTGCAGTATCGGACAACAGTGAGACAGGTCATTCAGTAGCAGAGTTGGGGTAACGGAAGAGGAATTGCCTCATTAGAGGCCAGGGCCTTGTCAGTGGGCTGGGCCTGGCTGGTGGACCAGACTGGTAGATGGGGGCAGCTGGGGGGGGGGGTGCAGGGGCGCAGCATACCTTGGGGAAGCGCTCCCGGTACACGTGATTCATCATCACAATCTCATTGTCAAAGGTTCCCGATGTACGCCCAGGGCTGAAAAAGTGATAAGAGGGTGAGGGACACTTAAGGGCCCTGACCGGTGGAGAGGTCCTAGCCCAAGCCTACCTGAGGCTGCGTGAGCGTGGGCGCAGGCGTGGGGAACGGCCTCCTCCGTCCTCATCTACCATGCTCTCTGAGCTGCGGAAGTGCTTGGACAGGAAGCGCAGCTCGTCCGCTGTGGGCTGGAAGGGAAGCTGGTGTAGACGCTCTCGGGAGGATGAGCTTGACTGGAGAAAGGAAGGTCAGAGTCACAGTGGACTTAGTACCCCAGTGTCACACCCTGACACAGCTCCCAGCAAACTGCCAGCCCTCCCTGCTTAGCGTGGGAGCCCCATACCCACAGGCCACGAAAGAGCATCTGGCCACCCCAGTCTACCCCCATCCACCTGCCCAGGGCAGCTGTCAGTACCGACACAGTAGAGCTGGGAGTGTTGGTGCCATAGCCGGAGGATGGGAGAGAAGCGAGTGACCATCTTCTGCCATCAGCCCTGGAGAGAGACAGGGACAGATGGAAAGACAGTCTGGCTCTGTGCTGGGAGGGTTTGTAGCAGACTGTGCTGGCACATTCCCATTCTCTGGATCAAGGACCCCACAGGCAGCCAGATCCAGGGCCCACGATCTTCAGACATTGCCTCCAGGAAGCCCTCCCTGATGCCTGTGCCGCCTAGTTGCTGTTTCAGGGAGGGGGGGAGGAATCCCAGACCCCAACAACTCCCTGGACACTCCAAAAGACAGGCTTCAGCCCTCAGGGCAGCCTTAGATCCTAGCACAGGGTGCTCACTTAATAAAGGCCCTGGGCCCACCATGTCAGCTCTTGGTTAGTGAACAATGTGGCTGTTAGAGTTAGTGACTTCTGAGTATGGCTGTAACCCCTTTTCTGAATTACCTGTCACCATTAGAGAAGTGGCTGTGGAGGGCCATGTTTGCCAGGGCAGAAGCTACAGGGAGAGACCACCATCCCCGTGATGAGGCCACAACACTCACCTCCGGGCAAAGGGGAAGTTGATGGCTGCTGCGACAGAAGAGTTCCGAGGACTGTCCAAGGGGCTGTTACCTGCTGAGGGGAGGGGAGGGGAGGATCGACTCAGGGCAGAGCTAGGATGCAGCTGCCCACCTGGATCTCCCCACTCACCTGTTGGGACAGATAATGGTGACAGAGGCCTGGAGATAGTAGGTGAGGGTGTCCCCACAACTAGGCTCTTTCTGTTGCCACTGCGGCAGCTGTAGAGGGAATGACAAACTAGATGGTCAGCTCCAGGGACCAGGGAACCATGTGCCCAGCTGGGAGTGTGCTCAGGCTGCCTGCAAGTTGGATTAGACTAACCACTACCTCCCCTCAGTAGGCCCTTTAAGGGTCTTTAGCAGGGGGTTCTGAGACCCATGGGGGGTGACCAAACTGCCTTTTTTTTTTTTTTTGACAGGGTTTCTCTATGGCTTTGGAGGCTGTCCTGGAACTTGCTCTTATAGACCACGATGGTCTCCAACTCACAGAGATCCACCTGCCTCTGCCTCCTGAGTGCTGCCACCAATGCCTGGCTTGTTTTTCAAAAAGGGTTTTTCTGTGTAGCCCTGGCTGTCCTAGAACTCGTTGTGTAGACCAGGCTGGCCTTGAACTCAAGAGATCCGCCTTGCCTCCTGAGTTTGGGATTAAAGGAATGTGCCACTACACCTGGCTCAAGCATCTCACTCAGCAGAGGCTGACCTTGGGACTCAGAGGTGACTCTCAATGCCTCATCTCCTGGTCCTGGGATGACACATGGGACACAACCTGTTTCAATCTTCCCTTCCATCCTTGTTACCACTGACACCATGGCAGGAGAAAGCCCATCCAGCCTCATGGGGACAGTGGCACATGACCATGACACACTGACTTCAGCTCTCTTCCTTCCCAGCTCTAACTGCCAGCCACACTGAAATTCAGGAGACAGAGACAGGTGATGCCCTTGAGTCCATGGCTGTGGGAAGCAGGTACCCTCTGTGTTCCCGAAGCCACCTTCTCAAGATCCTACCTTCCTAAGATCCCACCAAAGAGCTAGCTACTTCCTGGTGTGGCACACTTCTTCCTTTAATCCCAAATTCTCTGTGAGTTGGAGGCCAGTCTGAGCTACATACAAACAACAAAAAAAGCTAATTTGACCCAATGAAAACAATCCAAAGTCTGAATGGTGACTCTCAGGCTGGATTTTCCATGTTCTATCTTCTGCCCACCTCTTCCCTCCTCTGATCCCATATCCCTTTTGGCCACCTGCCCTGACCCCATCCCCATCCCACAGCTCTCTGGCCGCTTCTGCCCACTGGGCCTCCACATTGGCAGAGCTGAAGCCACTAGGTTCCTGCCCTCCTCCCAGCCCCCTGCAGTCACCCAGCAACAGTGGCTGTGATGTGACAGACGACAAGGAGAGCAGCCCACACAGCCCTCCTCTGCAGAAGTGTCAGAGAGGGGGCGACAGGCAGGGCCTGAAGCAGGCAGGGCCTGAAGGAGGCAGGGAGGGTTTTGGGTGGTGAGAGGCACAGCTGCAGGCCAAGACAGCAGGCACAGGGCATAGCCAAGAAGCAGCAAAGGGCCCAGGCAAGAGTGTGGTAGGGGCTGAGCCCAGCTAGTGTGCCTCTTCTTCCCTACCAGGGCACCAGGAAGGTCCACAAAACCAGCACACCCTGTGAACCTGGCCTTTGGAAGACATACACTCTCAGAGCCGGACTGCAGGAAGCCACACCCCCAGAGTCAGCTAAGCTACAGGTGTGGAAAGTAGCAGCAGTAACAAGCTCTGAGTTGGGGAGCCCACCAACTGTGTGTACCTGCTTCCCACACAGGGAAGCCAGGACTACAGCTATCAAGAATGGGAGGAATTGCCCCATAGGCTGAGGTGCGGGTTCAGAAGAGGAACCCAAAGGTCCCTGAAGGACTTCCTGCGCCTCCATCCCCCATCCCCTGCATAGGACACACAGGCAGCCACACCCTCTCCCTGCCCCTGGCTGCCCCCATGTCCTGCAATGGTGGCCAGTGAGATTGGTTGCTTTCTCTCCCTTGTACAGTCAAGGCCTTGAAAACAACCATATTGGACACCTCAGCGAACCTGGGATCATCCCACCAGAGCACACATTAAATGCCAACTGTTTACACAGTTCTTTGTATGCCAGCTCTAACAGGCCCGCAATCCATGCAGGGCACTGTACATCTCCCAGCACAATCGAAGCTTCAGATACAGCACTCAGGGTCCTTGCAACCTAGACATTGCCTATCTAGACAGACCTAAACACAGAGAAACCAAAGCACAGAGATATTGGGGAACTGCTTGGAGGGTCACACGGCATGGTAGTAGCTACACTGCAATTTGAACCTGAGTCTGACTGAGGCACCACCACTTGGCGTCTGTACCTGGGCCGAAGAGAAGCCTTGGTTACAGATCCACCACCCACTCGTCAGCCTGGGCCACGAATATTTGCATCTGCGCCAACGTTTCCGCGGAGAGTCCAGCACAGAGAGCTTTATTCCTCCCAGATTCCTCAATTAGCGCTGCCCGAAGTCAGGGTTCGAATCCCGAGGGTCCCCAGCTCGACCCTGCACTCCCAGCCGCCCCTACCTTTTGGAACGCTGTAGCAGCGCTCCCTTAGCCAAGCGGCTACGGTGTCCTGGAGCCGCCACCGCCGTCCAGTAGCTAGGATCCGACATGTTGCCGCCCCCGCGCGCCGGGGCCTAGGCCGGATCTGCTGGATTCGGCCTGAGCCCCGTGGAGCGGCCCGGCGGCCGCGGGCTACCAGGAGCGCGCGGGGAGGCGAGGAGGAAGCGCTGCCGGACCCGCCCCAGCAGAGGGGCGGAGCAAGAGGGGCGTGCCGTCGATAAGGAGGAGGGCGGGGGGGCGGGGCGTTGCCAGGGCCCGTCACTAAGGAGCCTCCGTTACTAAGACTCTGCCGGAAACGCCGGGATGGTACTCAATTAGAACCCGCATGTGGCGCCGGGGTGTTGCTAGGGGTCTGGAGCGAACGTGGACGTTGCTATGAACCCCAGCATCCCAGGCAGGACTTTGCTAGGATTCTGAGAAGAGGGAGGGGTTACCTGGCCGTTGCTAGGGCTTGCGCAGCGAGAGCGGGGCGTTGCTGTGGACCTCAGCAACCCAGGCAGGATGTCGCTAGGGCTCTAGGCACCGGGGAGAGGGGGTCTAGGATGAGGGTGGGACGTTGCTATGGACCTCAGCAGAACAGGCAGGTCGTTGCTAGGGTTTTGAGCAGAAGGGGCGGGGTTACTCTCTGGGAGGTAAAGGCCGGGCTTCGCTAGGCCCCCCCCACAGTCACGTGGCTTTGGCATTTACCAGGGGAGGCGGGGCGTTGCTAGTGCCTGGGTGGCGGGGTGGGGCGTCGGCGGAACTTGGGCTGGTGCGGCGGGTCTGTCCCTGTCCCTGGGGTATCAACCCTGTTCGGCGCTGCCCCTTTCTTTCCCGGTCTGTAAAATGCCTGCGGTGAACGCGGTGTGGTGGTAACAAACCTTGCGTATATAGCCACGAAAGCCATTACCAAAGGCGTAAAATCGCAGACACTTAGATACCAAAGGTATAAGTCCTTCTCCCCTAGGTCCTAGTGGGAGTCATTCCGACACCACCCGGCTCCTTGGACCATTAGACATTTCGTATCCCGGTCTTGCTGGGATTTGAAACCCAGACCCCATATCTGGGATAAGAAGATAGCCAAGGAAGCTGAGGTACAGGTCCCCCAGGGTGTCCATCCCTCTTCTCAAGTCACCCCCAGACACTGCCACATCAGATGTCCTCCACCCTTGCTGGCTGGAGCACAAACCCATATACTTATTCATTCACTCGATAAACATTTACTGAACACCTACCTACAGCTTGCCTGCCTCTGGGGCACCTAGGGGTGACCTCAATGGGGGTGATCCTCAGTCTCAGATGGGAAACAGAGAATAAACAGGAAACAAAAGAAGAATTTCAAAGAGAGAGGGGATGCAACCCAGGCGGGGAGTGCTTGTCTAGTGTGGAGGGAGTCCTAGATTCCATCCCCAGCATCTTATCACGCTTGGAATTGGTGGCACACACCTATCATCCCAGAACTTGGGAGGGAAGACTAGAGCTAACCACACAGGCTGTATTAAGGTTCAGGTTTATTGAAAGAGCAATCAGGAGCCATGGATGGTGCTTGAGATGCCCCCCCCCCATGTCTGTCCTGGAAAGCAAAGACCTTTTACACATTGGGATGGAGGTTGAAGACTCCAATGAGAAGCTGGGTGGCTTCCAGGAAAAGCTGAGGATCACATCACGGCAGGCCCCAGAGAGAAGTGGGTGGGCTATAGCAGATGCTTTGAGTCCCAAGGAAAGACCCTTGCAGTGGTCAGGTGTGATAGAAGATTACAAAGGCTACCTGTGATTCTGGGTGTCAGGTCTGAGTCCCCTGTGAAAGTCTCAAAGCCTCCTGACTCTGGGGACCCAAATGGGGATGGAGTCCTGGGTTTCATAGACACACCTCATACACAGCTATTTCCTCATCCCTGATCCCACATCACCACTGATCTGGCACCCCATCTCCCAGCCCCCTGGCTGGAAAACTTCGCTATGCTGACCCTGAGTGCCTGCCTCAGGGAGAAGCTGAGTGCACAGGACTACTTGCTCAGACTCATTAGTGGGCCCCAAGCTGCTACCCCAACAAAGCTCAGTCCTGGGGGTCAGGGGTCTAATACTGCCTGTGACCACCAGCTCTAGGTCCTTGGAATGGCCTGCTAGAGCTTAATGGCAAAGGTCTAGGTGTGTCTTAGTCAGGCCAACCCATCTTCCCACATGCCACAGGGCTCAACCACTGTCCCTCAGCCCCATATCCTGTGCTCCACAGGTAAATCTACATTCCATCTGTGCTTGGCCTCCAAGGCCCTGGAGCTGTCTCTGAGTCCTAGAGGGCCAAATTGAGATGGCCTTCCACCCTGAAGGACAACAGAGCCCCTCTACCTGCTTCCCATTCATTCACACCAGAGCCTGCATGCCTGCCCTGAGCATACAGTGTGAGCAGAAAGATTCAGGCCAAGCCTTTGAGGGTCTCAAAGTTCTGAAGGAAATTAACTCAGTAATCACACAGGAAGGTGAGAGATCACTGAGCAGGGTGTATCTTCTTCCACCAACACTAGTGTGGCCGAGGCAGGAGGATAACGAAAGTTTGAGGCCAGGCTAGCCTACAACCTAAGCTGTACACAAGAACAAAAACAAACAAAATCACTGTATCACTAGGTGATGGTAGCACATATCTTTAGTCCCAGTGTTGGGGAGGCAGAGGCGGGAATTCGAGGCCAGCCTGGTCTATAGAGTGAGTTCCAGGACAGGCTGCAAAGCTACAGAAACCCTGTCTCACGAAAACAAAATGAAAACAAAGTTTCAAGACAAACAAACAAAAAAAAAACAACAAACAAAACAAATCCTCTTTCTCAAAAATCCAAGAACCAGAGGTGTGCCTCAAGGGTGGAGACTTGTCTAGAATCCCCCAGTGAGGGGCTGGGGGCATGGCTCAAAGGTAGAGCCTTTGCCTAGCATCTAAAAAAATCAAAAAACAAACAAAAAAACCTCATGGAAATCAGCCCTGATGAGGTCCATTTAGGGGACTGGTTTATGAAGGATGGCGTACACGTGGAAAGCTTCCATTCTTTGGATGTGGTGGTGGCTTCCAAACATGAAAAGAAGGGATGGCTCAGAGGTTAAGAGCACTGACTGCTATTCAGCAGTCCAGAGTTCAATTCCCAGTAACCACATGACACACAACCATCCATAATGAGATCTTGTGCCCTCCTCTGGCCTACAGGGAAACATGCAGGCAGAACACTATAATAAATAAATAATCTTTAAGGAAAAAACAAAAAACAAAAAAACACAACTCTGAACAGAGCAGTGGCAAGTGTGGAGAGGTGGGTTGGGTTGGGTTGCACACGATCTGGGGCCTTAGGGACACAGGAGGACCTTCTTCCTATAGTACCTGGATCATACTGAGGTATAAATGGTTGCCAAACAAATTAGATCCATCCAGTTCAAGTACAGGGTAGTGAAGCTAAGGCCTTGTGTGGCTGCAGGCAAGTTCTGCTGCCCTCTGGTGGTGACTGTGGCTACCTGGCCCCCAACAGTGCCTCCTCCATTTCCTCCAGGTAAAACCTGTTCAGTCACAAGTATCCCCCACCCAGGACCCCTCCCTCTCACCTGCCCTCCCCTGGGTTTGAGCCAAGGACTCAGAGATGCATCTGGCCTCACATTGCCTCCTAGGGTGCCTTTGGGCCTCTTTCACCTACTCTACAGTAAGTGTGGTGACAGCATTCCCTGCCTCCCACTGAGCAAACCCAACCAGTTCTAGGCATACAAGCTTTCCTCCAGATGCCCAGTCTCCACAGGCCTATGTTTCCCACCCTGCCCCAGGACTACTGCACACTCAGTCCTAGATGTCTGGGGTTAATCTTGACATATCTCTATTCCCAACTCCAATCCACAGTCACTTCCCCAAGGGGTCAGCATTTCAACATCTCATTAGCCATTCATCTGTTACAGTCACTTCCTCCAGCTAACTGCGGACCCTCTGAGGGAGACGCTATTCTTGCTCACAACTATGGACTGTTTACCTGGCATGCTGGTGTCTAGAAAACGTTTGCGAGTGAATAGTGTAGCCCTGTTAATTGTCTGCTTCAGTGCAGACTCCGTAGTATTATGTGTCTTCCCCATTCAAAAATCTAGAGACTGTGCTGAACAGCTTGTTCACACTAAGGTTCACACTAAGAGCTCCCAGGTAAGTCAAGAAGACTTGATTTTCAGATGGGTTAGCCTCGGAAATAGGCCCAGTAATCAGAGGGTGGCGCTGACTCTCAGTAGGGTGTGGTGGCCAAGCTGTCCCCCAGAATCATGACAGGCCTGACTCTGCGCCTCAGTTTCCTCAGCTGGGAAACATGGTCAGGATAGAGCCGGCCCTCGGTGGCTGCCTGTTTGGGTCTAGTGCAGCCTCTTGGCCTTGTGTGTAACCAGAGGGAGGCGTTTCCAGCGGGTCCCCGAGGTCACAACCTGGCATGGCCCTGGGAATCCAACACCTGTCTCGGGAAGTCGTTGGGCTCAAGTACTGGCGTCGCCTTGGACACGCCGGAGCTGGGCGCTCCCGCGGTGTCGGAAGGGAAGCCGGGGAGGGGGAGACACTGAAGCCTGGGGCCAGGGGAGTGTGAAAGGCCCGAGCGGAGGGCGCGCGTGCAGGGCGGCGCCACTCACCTCCAGGGCTGCAGGCCCAATGACGGGCTGCACGGGCTGCCGGGGCTCAGCAGGCATGGGCTCTGGCTGCTCGGTGACAGACTGCAAGACAGAGGCGGGCGGTGACCCCGCGGCGACCCGGCGTGACCCCCGCGGGCTCCCGGGAACCACACCGCAGGGCTCCGGCCACTGTACTCACTCTAGCGTCAGCGCGGGGATCAGCAATTTCTCCCTGCGGGACTTCATAGCGGTGCCGCGGAAACCGACGACCGGTGGTACCGGACGCTAGCAGACGCGCTGGGACTACGGACAGAGCAACGCGCGCACCGGCGGCTGGTAGGGGCGGGGGCATGTGTCGAGGGGCGGGGATATGGGCGGGGTAGCAGGTGGGCTGAGGGGCGGGGCTATTGGCGGGACAAAGATGTTACTGGGCGGGACTAAAGGCCAGGGAGGAGCTGTCGGGGCGGAGCTACAATGCGTGGGTGGGGTTATATCTCGGGGCGGGGTTATGGGAGGGGCCACCGGTGAGGAACAGGGTTTTGGGAGGCAGAGGTATGGGAGTGGGGCGGGACATTTGTTGTGTAGGTAAGCATGAGGGGCGGAGCTATTTGA